CGACAATTGTCTTTTCTTGATGCATATTTGGTTTGCTTTTCCTGACACTTTGAAAGCGAAGATAAAACTCCACTTTAGGAGAATCTCGTAAACGTGGATCCGGAGTTGAAACCACTGACAGGAGGAAGAAAGGTGTCCGAACCAAAAGTGACCAACAAATTTGCTCGGAAAGGGAAAAGACCGAGGAGTGGTCAGTTTATTTCTCACTAGACTGGCTTCTTTGGCCTGCTTTGTCTTTTTTCCCAATAAAAAGACGCCAATTTGTCCTTCTGAGGTGCCGGCCAATTGATGAAGTGTGACAGGGTGGCTGACCCAACCCCCATGACCAGTGAAGATCCCTACGAGGAAACACCCTTCGTGGACTCGCAATATCTGACAGTGAGTTCTGCGAAATTGCGCCAAAATTGGACAGTTGACAGGGGACTGTCGGTCATTACTAGTGTGGTGATTACAGATGCTTAGGTCCACGGAAAATAGTTTGCCTCGTGACAACGAAACAACAGCTGCGGTTGCGACTTCACAGTCTGTCTCTCTCCCTGTTTGTATATCTGAAAGGGTTTTGTTTTCTTTTCTGTAGCCACGGTCTCTGACATCGTACGAGGCTCAAAGCTCGCGCACCTCGACCAGTGTAAATAGAGGTGACCTCGAGGAGCAGCCCTTGCCTCCCAGCGCCATTTCAGCAGCTGTCGACTACACCCCCGGTGAAGCAGTCTACGGTAGGTTTGTGACGCTTTCGCCAACACCACCACCAAGTGGCAAATCAAGTGACACACTTGAGTCACAATACGGTGGACTTTTGACGGTTCGTTTTAGACACCACTGAAGGCACCATCACGCAGACATATCCGCCGAGGTTAACCGAACGTCCGGTTAATTTGCAGTCCCTACCTCTACCCCGACCCGTGTATCCCTCTGTTGAGCATCAAGTGAGGTGACAGTGTGAGCTAACCGCAAACACGCACGACTGGTTTAACCCCTCCCTCCCATGTGTGATTGGCTAATACCGCCACTTAACCCTCACAGCTCTGGTCTGGTCATTGCTTCGGTGTAGTGGACAGGAGAGAGATGAAATGACAGTGAGTTTGCTTCCAGCACGCTTTTCTTGTTTTTGGTGTGCCTTTTAGAGTGGTAACC